TGTGCATTTATTTTGGGTCGCCGGAAGACTGCCCCCCCGAAAACTACCCCCCCAAGCAGGTTCCTACGTCATATTGACGTCAGAGACCGGGGGGGCAGTTTTCCAGTCACGGACACTCAAATTTAGTTGTCAAACAGTTCTAATCTAACCTAACCTAACCAACCAAACTTGCTGTAACATTTAGAAAATCTGTTTTATATTCACCACATGTCTTTTCTATTATCCAACTGAATTACTCTAATTAAAATTAAAATTACATAGCATGATTTGTCTGGGGGGGGGGTAGTATTCCAGTCGCGGACACGGCTTCCATGTTGGTTAGTTAGCAGATTTTGTGACGTCACGTTTCACCTGGGGGGGTAGTTTTCCGGGGGATAGTATTCTGCATCCCCTTTATTTTTTGTTTTTTTATTGTGCAAGTATTTTTTGTGCACAATTTAGAATAGGTCTAAAAAGTTACTACAAAATCTATTATTATTTGTTGAGCCTAGCCTTCTTGTTTTCTCACATTAAATAAACAACAGGGAAAATGGAAAACTAAAAAAACAACATTTTCATGTAAGAATAAGGTTCAGTTAAAAAAACTAGAAATTATTCATCAGTTGTGAGAAGTGAGTTAGTATTTTTTTTACACTTTCAGTTGTTATAATCATACCGTATTATTATTAATAATAGGTTATTTTTCTAAACTATTTCAACTTAATCTTCTTAACATTCAAGCTAGTTATTACTATTAATTATTATCAGCTGAATAATGCTTGGTAATATAAACACTAATATAATAATTAACATATTATTATTTACTTTTTTATGCAAATAAATGCACTATCCAAAATGCTTGTTAAGTGGTACCTATTCTCAACAAGGTAATTTAATAAGTTTTTCTCAAATAATCTTCAATGTACGATAAATAAAAAAATTTAAAGCTGTCTTGGTCTAATATTTGTTAAGGTGGTTGCCATATTCTTTATCTTCCTTACTTCATTAAAACACATATTCTTTAAAGGTAAAATCATTTGGTTTTTTGTGGCTGCTACCATTGTTAAGGAAGTCTACAAAAATTGCATAATTCTCTCATTCTTTGGTTTGATTATGATATGAAAATAAATGCTGATAGCTAGCCTACACCAACAATATAACATTACATTTTGCATACTGTATTGTAATGATGTAGTAACTGTAATAGGTGCTCTTTCCCCTTCTAGACTTTCACTAGGGCCCCTCTGGTTCACCTTAGGAGCTTTGGATGTGATCCGTACCCGAGGTCCTACGGGCCTGCTTCAGATGAAACTACTGAACAGCAGTAGGTTGTCCCTAATCTAGATCAATTAGGTATTTACCTGACAAATCACAAAACACATATTTCTAATGAAGACTTAAAATATTGTTTTACCATCATACAACACACCAACCCTCATGACACATAGTTCACCTCCCATAACAAATGCCTTCAAAGAAAACTGTTAGTAAAAATCAATGTATATAATTTTATATATTGATTTTTATGACAATTGTATTTTGAGCCACTTTTTATTAATATGGCATCAAATATGTATCATCTATGTATAAAATATGTATTTTATACATTTAAGGTATGCATCAATTTCTATCAAAATTTACAGATTATATAACAGATGTATAATATGTATCATATCTGTAGTTGGATCCTTATACAATATGCAAATAATACATATTTATGTGGGACATATTTACAGATACAATCTGTATTGTATACATTTCTATACAGATTGTATACAAAAGCTATACCATGCCGGTAGGTAAATTATACGTATTATATACATATTTGTGCTACTTGGGTGTGGATATGATGATTGGTGACGTCATATGATAGTTGGAAAAACTGGTCTTTACTTTTCTGCATCACTGTATGTATGTATGCAGTATGTATGCTGCATTATCCTATGTAGCTTTTATATTCGTTCAGTTATAAACTGTTCTTGAATAATCTGTTATTTTTTTACTTACTTTCACCTTAAAACACAAAAAAATTAACTGTCGCATATATGTGACGTTTGGTCTATTTTAATAAAACTAAGATAATTTTCACTATGGTCTTTGCTGTAGACCGGGCGTCGCAAATATGCGACATTACAAAAGATTATAAAAAATTCAAATAAAAAAACAAGAATAAATTATTTACGTTTACGATTGTAGCGTATTACAATGTAAATGATCACTGTTTTTTTACAGGTTTTCGCCCGTGGTCTGTGTGTACTGTTAACCAAGTGACAGCCAGTCTATGTGTACAGCTCGTGACACCTAAGCTGGCACTTGGCCTAGCGCGGGCAGTGTAGGCGGGAGGAGGGTGGAGGTAGGGAAAAGACCGGACTGCAAACATTCCCCTCTTCCTCGAGGGGTTGACTCCCCTTGTATCATGTAACTGAGCGCCTTCATATGGGTCACGAGGACAGTTGATGCAACCCCCATGACGGGACATAATTTTTTGAAATAGGCACTAGTAGCGATCGGCCAAGTGCCAGCTTAGATGTCACGAGCTGTAAGATTCAAATGTATACCTCGGCCTGTGGCAATAACCGGGGCGTTGCATATATGCCACGCTCAGTAGCGAACGTGTTAAAGAACCACCAAAACACTACCATTATTAACCCTCCAAGTGTCTCTAGTTTTGGTCTTAATGTTCGCCCATTTATTGTGCAATCGCAGGGTTTTATTTAAATGTATCTTAGAAACTTAAAAACAATGTAAAGTATAGGTCTACTGTTTTATGTTTTATATATAATTTTGTTTGGAAAATTATGGGCTTCAATGTAACATATAAAACATTTTTTTTAAAATGTTCAACGATTTTTGTGGGATTAACATTTCTCAAAAATTATAAAATAAATGAAAAAAAAATTATGTTTGCGCATGATAAAATGTTATAATTTATAGGTCTACAAATATTTTCAAATAGCCACTTTGTTCAGAATTTTATGAGGATTCCAAAAATATAATAATATGAGTAAGTAGGTTTGCAAATAAATAAGTTATGGGCAAAAAACAGATTTCAGTACATAGCGTTTAGCTAAGAATGCATAGCCTAACCATAGCTAGGAATCTGGCTGATAATTTACATCAATATCACTACCTTCTTCTTCAGGATCATCAACCAACCCTTCAAAATCACTTAAATCTTCTTATAATGCACCACGTATATCACTACTTTTGATTTTTTTTACTAAAATAATGATAAACGTAATAAAACACATCAGTCATCGGTACGAGGTTAACCAAGCTATTAACAAATACACACGTTAGCTGTCTGCTACAATATTTTCGGAATTAAAATGAAAAGTGTATAGAAACAGACATCAGGAGAAAGCTCTGAATATGCTGAAAAAAACGATACCTAACTCGATCCAGTTCAATCCGATTCAGTCAGTCCCAGAGCCGTCGCCGTAAACAGTGTTTGTGAGTCGCAAAAGCAACACATAACACTACAGCGGATGTGTTATGAGTCGCTTTTACGACACATAACACTCGGTGGGTTAGTTATAAAACGCAAACCAGCGGCTATCAAAATGAATTATAGGCTAAGATTACCGTACTTCGACACAAAACCTTTTGTGGTGCTGGTGGCAACTTAAGGTATTGTGGGTATTTTGCCCAGCCATTTTTGTAGAAGGCAGCCAGAGAGTGGCGAGCAACCCCTCCTAGTCTGACCTATTTTGTGACCTAATTTTGAAACAAGATACTTTTTGCCAAAGTATTATTCGTGCACTTAAAATTATTTGAATTCTTAAGCCCTATAAAAAATGTACACCACCTAAATATATTGTACAGTTACCTACAGTACTGTGTCGGAGTAGAGTAATTCACCGAGTATATTGTTGAATGTTTTGAAGACGTTGCCTATTTTAATACTGACCACGTGTTGGCTGACAATACAGATTCTAATTGTAAATTGAAAAACTTATAATTACTTGGTGGAATATAATTACCCACAGTTGATACAACCTTAGCTACTACTTCGTCCATTAATTAGATATAACTTTGTATTGTTAAATGACGTTTCCTGTTAAACATTTAATTTTGATTACCAGCAAGTTTGTTTTTCTTTACCGCAAGTTTACTAAATACTTGAAATGCTCGTTTTATGTGGTTAAGAGGAAATTGCCAGGTAAATTGGAGAGGGGAGGGTAGGTTGAAATAGAGGGCAGTATAAATTGGGGGGGGGGGGGATTACGCCACTGGGTTTGGGGGGGATGGGCGCCTCTGAAATAAGTTACATAAGAGCTTAATTGTTCTCTCCTACTGAACTAGGTCTAAACTAAAGGTACATCTCTTTAAGTAAAAATCAGTTTTTGGCAACTTTATTCATTTTATACTAAGCTATTAAAAAAATACCCCCGCCGCAGCAAACCTGCCAACTAAGCGAATTTCCATTTGTCTGAATTGATTTTCAGTGAAATATATTTTAATAACATTAGGTTTAACGAGTACCTAGGTTTGCTGCTACAAGGAAACTAATAAAGTGTGTTTTTGAGTAAAATATTGATAGCTTAGTACAAAATAAATAAATTTGCCAAGTTTGATCAAAATATATCCATAAACAAGCAAACTACAACATTTGACAATATTCTCCATAAGAATAACATGGGAATTTTAAATTTACAATTTTTTAAATTTTCTCCGTTACTAATAATCGAACAAAAATACTTTTATATACTAAATTATTTTTTTTTTAAGCTCTTTAAAAAGGTCTAAAGAGAAATCGGGAAATTTTGTGTTTTCAGGGTCAAAAGTGAGAAAAACCAATTTTTACCCCATAAAACCCCCCGTTCCCATGGTCCGATCGTGCTGGTTCGCGAACTCATTCAAGTTTATCCCGCTTTACACCTTTAAACCAAATTTCATCAAAATCGGACAAAAATTACTCAAGTTATCGCGTTCACGGACGTATATATATGCATATATATATATTAGTCTATATATATATACATCAGTACCCTAAAAACATTTTATTTTATATTACTTACATGTTTCGGACATTAATGCCATGATCACAGTATAGTATATAACCTATTAGTTTCTAACTTCAATGGCAAAATTTTCAAACAATTAGAAGGATTGGCTATGGGTTCTCCACTTTCTGGTATTCTAGCAAACATATATATGCAGCATCTAGAATCATCAAAAATCATAAACGACGAAAATCCATTTAAAAAAGATATAATCTATTGGTATAGATATGTCGATGATATATTATGCTTATACAACGGCAATAAAGACTCATATCAAGATTTTTTGAAATACTTAAATTCTATCTCCCCAACAATTAAATTTACGATGGAGACACAAGAAAAGAAGATAAATTTCTTAGACATAACAATTACTAAAGAAAACGATCGACATAATTTCAATATATATAGGAAACCTACCCAAACTGACCTAATCATTCCATTTGAGTCAAACCATCCTTGGCAACACAAAATTTCTACATTCAAATCAATGGTATTTAGATTACTTAACATACCAATGTCTAAAGACAACTTTGAAATAGAAAAGAAAACTATAAAAAGAATTGCAGGAACAAATGGATACAAAGAAAAAATGATTGAAAAATTAATAAAAAATGAAAAAACAAAAAGAATGAAAGTAGAAGAACAAGAAAACGTAAAGAAAGAATTTATATGTATTCCATTCAGCTCATCCTTAAACAAAACCTTAAGAAAGACATTACCGAACTCAAAATTTAAACTAAGTTATAAAACAAGGAATAACGCTTTCAACATAATACAAAAAAGAACAAATACGATACCCAACCCACCAAATGTATATAAGAAATCAGGAATTTACAAATTATCATGTAACAACTGTGAAAAATACTATATTGGTCAAACAGGTCGAACATTTGAAGTCAGATACAAAGAGCATATACAGGCAATCAGATCAAACAATATGACAACACAAAAATCCTCATACGCCGAACATATACTTCAGACCGACCATACATACTCAGAAATGAATAAAAATATGCACATTCTGGATATTGAAAATAAAGGTGAAAAAATGAATACAAAGGAAGACTTTTATATTTATACTCACCATATTAATGACAAAGACAATTTACTAAACTTGACACAAATTCAAAATCAAAACGTAATATTCAATGAAATTATACATCTTAAAGAAAACACCTCCTTCCCTTAATATAAAAGTTATCACCTGTTCTTTAATAAGAAATATCTAATAATGTTTGTAAATAAAAGAAACTAATAGGTTATATACTATACTGTGATCATGGCATTAATGTCCGAAACATGTAAGTAATATAAAATAAAATGTTTTTAGGGTACTGTGGTATTTTGATTTGCTTAGTAACATTTAAAGTAGCCCTCATTGATGTATACAATAACAAAATATATATACATATATAAAAATTTGAATGAATGGTGTTTTTGGCCTCTGGGGACATCAAAATGAAAAAGTAAATCGGCCCCGGGTCTAGGTCTTACCGTGCCACTTACGGTAATAGCTACTTCCCTATAGGAAAATTCGCTAAAAAACGTAGCAGCAAACCTAGGTTACTCTTTAAACCTAATGTTATTTAAATAGAAGAATAACATGGGAATTTTAAATTTACAATTTTTTAAATTTTCTCCGTTACTAATAATCGAACAAAAATACTTTTATATACTAAATTATTTTTTTTTAAGCTCTTTAAAAAGGTCTAAAGAGAAATCGGGAAATTTTGTGTTTTCAGGGTCAAAAGTGAGAAAACCCAATTTTTACCCCATAAAACCCCCCGTTCCCATGGTCCGATCGTGCTGGTTCGCGAACTCATTCAAGTTTATCCCGCTTTACACCTTTAAACCAAATTTCATCAAAATCGGACAAAAATTACTCAAGTTATCGCGTTCACGGACGTATATATATGCATATATATATATAAGTCTATATATATATAAGGCTATATATATATATATATATACATATATAAAAATTTGAATGAATGGTGTTTTTGGCCTCTGGGGACATCAAAATGAAAAAGTAAATCGGCCCCGGGTCTAGGTCTTACCGTGCCACTTACGGTAATAGCTACTTCCCTATAGGAAAATTCGCTAAAAAACGTAGCAGCAAACCTAGGTTACTCTTTAAACCTAATGTTATTTAAATAGATTTAATTGAAAATCAATTCAGACAAATGGAAATTCGTTTTCCATTTTTGGTTTGCTGCGGCGGGGTTTTTGGTTTCGTTTTCATTTAAAAATAACCCATTTGTGTTGCACCAGTTAGGGCCTACAGGAAATTTGCGATACATTACTGCTAAGAATACTGAGATGGTTTACAGATAAGTGTTTATTTAACAGAGTGGTGTCATATGAATATATGGTTGTAAAACAAGATACATTAAAATCTATATAGGCCTAAATAAAATTACAGTTTTGTCTGTACATTGCGTAGAATCATGTATTTTTTGGTTATTTTGACATATTTTAGCCTAAGAAAGTCGAAACGAGTCTTATCTCAATTTATGTCTGTCATTGTGTCTGTAACGGTAAATTGCCAATTTACGCAGCCTATTCCGAGACAACTATCAGTACCGATCAAGATTCAATTCATTTTAATGTATTTACTGGATTTAGTCCAGGACCTGACTAGGGTTCTGTGTGCATGTCGTGTATAGAGAATTTTGCTTTTGCATTTCAATATAGGTGTCTTAGGAAGTGTTTTCCACTCGGGTGTCAAGTTCGCACCTGGTACGTTTTCGAGCTATGACGTCATAAAGATGGCGGCTTGGGCAATTTTTAAATGCGTATATTTCGCATACCGTTTAACGGATCGGGGTGATTCTTTTTTTGTTTGAAAGATAATTTTACAGGAAATGTTTTTTGTATTTACACTTTTGTTGTCAACTTAATATTTATCTCACAATATTAAAAAACGTGGTTTTTAATGTCATTGTTTTTGAAATTTAGTACCTCATAACTTGTTAAACGCTTATAGAATGAAATAACTACCCATTACAAAAGTTGTAGATAATTTGATGCCCTTTCCAACGATACCAAACAATTAATGTTTGAAACTAAAACTAAAGCCAAGAGATTAAATAAACCGTTAACAAACACTTAACATGTCAGAAAGTCCGGAAAATATTGCGGCTGGAACAATTCTTTAAATGCGTATATTTCGCATACTGCTTAAAGAACCGGGATGATTCTTTTTTTGTTTGTAAGATGTTTTTTAAGCCTATAATTTTTGTATTTACACCTTTGTTGTTAACCTACTATTTGTCAAAAAGTTATTAGCAAAAGTAAAATAAAAATAACAATTAAATGTACATTTATTAATATTGTGGGATAAATAGTAGGTTTTTACAAGAGAGCATTGTGTCAGTGGAACCGCATACATGGGAACTCCATTAAACCAGTGTCGTTTTAATTCCGCAGCGGAAAAAATCGCACCACACGGCGGAGATTCCGCATCCTGTGGAACCAGGCCTTAATGTTTAGGCCTACCACATACGTCATTTAAGAAAATTAAATAGGCCTACTAATTATCTGTTTGGAAAGTATGTCTTCTATTAAATAACGAACAGCTGTTTGTATCACGATTATCTTTTCTAGCTGTCACTGATATGTTTACATTACATGATATTTACAAATACTGCATCCATTTCCAATCACGTTTTGTAAGCAAATCCAAACCAATTGAGATTTAAAACGTTGTGCCTTACATAATGGATTTAATTAATCATTGCAAGTTCAATAAGTTGTAAGTGTAAGTTAAATTAAATAACATGCATCATCCAGGTCGGGAACTGAAGATTCATTGTGTAGGTATCAAATTGTTTTTGAAATAGGCCTAGGGCTGGGAAACTTAAATTTTTTAAATCATCATCGCCTATAGCTTATAAACAAGGTTTCCACTCATTGACGGTGCTTCAGTAATGACAGTTATGTAAAATATAAAGTAGGCCCCTAAATAATCACAACTGCAATGGGTGATCCTGTATTTTGCTACGATCTCGGAGGAACTTTTTGATTTCGTTGTGATGGTAACAGAGGTTTACGGGTGCTGCTAAAATTGTTTTTACAAAATGTCACTTTCGGTTTCAACTCACCGCTATGTGCTGCAATCACTGGACCATACCGCCAATAGGCCCATTTCTTAGGTACGTAGGCCTACCCAATTATTCATAACCACATTTCAACGACGATTCTTACTTGATTGATAGGCTACCAGTATTTTTCCCTAAAATACATGGCCTACCTACTACGAAAATAAAATTACAAACGTCTAGTAACCCAATTTTGTGCCATTTTTGTCACTCCTCCTAATGTTTATTAGATATACCAACCATTGTTTAGAGAATACGTCATATATCACATATTAAATATACATAATAGCCTATTAAATAACAAACCGTTTTCCGGTTTGTTGCATTGTCCAAACTTTGTGGAATGGTGGTTCAGGGCGGCCCTAGGGTTGGCGGCGCCCGGAGCAAACGTGGTTGTGGCGCCCCCTCCCGCCCAGCAGTGATAGTCACATTCACATATTTTAATACAATATTAATACAAATAGCTGCTGCGAGGCGCCCCCTCAGCCATGGTGCCCGGGGCAGCTTGCCCCCTCTTCGGACGGCCCTGGGTGGTTTGGATTATTTAGGGCTAGTTTGAATAATTGGTAAATATGCATTTTAGGGTTTGCACACGATTATTGACAGTGCTACAACAACCAATGAATAGGTTGGTAAGTTACCGGTAGGGCCTACTGAAAGATTTCCCAATTCCAAGCAAATTTCCCATACCAACTTACTTAATTCTCCCGACTAAGTTACTTAATTACCCATTATTTCCCGTTAAACTACCCTTTCCCCCGCCTAATCGCCGATGATAAACCACGTTAAGTAGGTGTCTCCCCCACCCAAACCCCGAAATTCCCAGTTCCCACCTGTCCCCTAGTGAGTTGGGGTTATTGCTGGTAGTATAACATTTTCGTCAAAATCTCGCTTATTTGAAGTCGGATCCAAAACATTCTTGCATATTCGTGATCTGCTTATTTAATATTCGGTCTAGTTAATTTGAGTAGCCTACCCACATGACGTGTTTTTGTAAAAAAAAATTTTGTCGTTTTTTGCGTCCTAATTTCGAGTAGGGCCTTAGAATGAAAAAAATCAAAAATCGTGTGCGCAAACCCTAAAATGCAACTGAATAATTCACCAGGAAAGAAAAATTCAGTCGACTCTCGATAAAATCGAATTTCAAGGGAACGGCTGTTTTCTTCGAGTTAGGCCTATGTATAGTTCGACTTAAGAATAGTTCAAGTTATAACTTAGAGGTAATAGCCTATTTCACTAAATTCGACTTACAGAGGTAAACAAAATAAAATTCGAGTTATAGAGGTACAAATAGGCTATAAACCATTTTTGGCAGACAGTCGGACAATTCAGCGACATGTCCAGACCTGTTCGGCTAGGTCTATGACCTAACAAAGGTTCGCTGTAAACACAGCAAAGCTTCGAGTTAATTGGTGTGAACCTGGCAATAACTCCAGCCATAAGTAGTGCGCGCGCCCGAAAAAATCTATTGCTGGCCGATTTGCGGCAAAATACGACCGCGTAACATAAAAACCGATAGTGTCACCAGATAGAGGACACTTTAACGGAAACGACAGTATCAATATCATGTACCTGGGGGATAAGAAAGGGGGAGTAAAGTCAGCAATAAGTAGAGGGCGCGCCCGAAAAATCTACTGCTGGCCGATTTGCGGCAAAATACGACCGCGTAACATGAAACCGATAGTGTCACCAGATAGAGGACACTTTAACGGAAACGACAGTATCAATATCATGTACCTGGGGGATAAGAAAGGGGGGGTAAAGTCAGCCAAAAGTAGTGCGCGCGCCCGAAAAAATCTATTGCCGGCCGTTATTTGGCAAAATACGACCGCGTAACATGAAACTGATAATGTCATCAGATAGAGGAGACTTTAACGGACACGACAGTATCAATAGGCTATCATGTACCTGGGGGATAAGAAAGGGGGGGTAAAGTCAGCCAGAAGTAGTGCGCGCGCCCGAAAAAATCTATTGCTGGCCGAATTGCGGCAAAATACGGCCGCGTAACATAATACCGATGATGTCACCAGATAGAGGACACTTTAACGGACATGACAGTATCAATATCATGTACCTGGGGGACAAGGAAGGGGGGGTAAAGTCAGCCATAAGTAGTGCGCGCGCCCTCAAAAATCTATTGCTTGCCGATTTGCGGCAAAATACGGCCGCGTATCATAATACCGACTATGTCACCAGATAGAGGACACTTTAACGGACACGACAGTATCAATATCATGTACCTGGGGGATAAGAAAGGGGGGGTAAAGTCAGCCATAAGTAGTGCGCGCGCCCTCAAAAATCTACTGCTGGCCGATTTGCGGCAAAATACGGCCGCGTATCATAATACCGATTATGTCACCAGATAGAGGATTCAAAGCCGTGACAACTGACAACTTACGACTAGACTGGTTGACGATCCTTTTGTATCAACAACTTTTACCATAAAGTATTAGGCCTATAATCCTATTATGCGCAGCCACTCAAGTCGCGCAGATTTTTTCGGGCGCGCGCACTACTTATTGCTGACTTTACCCCCCCTTTCTTATCCGCCAGGTACATGATATTGATACTGTCGTGTCCGTTAAAGTGTCCTCTATCTGGTGACATTATCGGTTTCATGTTACGCGGTCGTATTTTGCCGCAAAACGGCCGGCAATAGGTTTTTTCGGGCAAGCCCACTACTTATTGCTGACTTTAACCCCTTTCTTATCCCCCAGGTACATGATATTCATACTGACGTGTCCTTTAAAGTGTCCTCTATCTGGTGACATCATCGGTATTATGTTACGCGGCCGTATTTTGCCGCAATTCGGCCAGCAATAGATTTTTTAGGGCGCGCGCACTACTTATTGCTGATTTTACCCCCTCTTTCTTATCCGTTAGGTACATGATATTGATACTGTCGTGTCCGTTAAAGTGTCCTCTATCCGGTGACATCATCGGTATTATGATACGCGGCCGTATTTTGCCGCAAATCGGCCAGCAATAGATTTTTGAGGGCGCGCGCTCTACTTATTGCTGACTTTGCCCCCTCTTTCATATCCGCCAGGTACATGATATTGATACTATCGTGTCCGTTAAAGTGTCCTCTATCTGGTGATATCATCGGTATTATGATACGCGGCCGTATTTGGCTGCAAATAGGTCATTAATAGATTTTTGAGGGCGCGCGCACTACTTATTGCTGATTTTACCCCCTCTTTCTTATCCGCCAGGTACATGATATTGATACTGTCGTGTCCGTTAAATTGTCCTCTATCTGGTGACATCATCGGTATTATGTTACGCGGCCGTATTTTGCCGCAATTCGGCCAGCAATAGATTTTTTAGGGCGCGCGCACTACTTATTGCTGATTTTACCCCCTCTTTCTTATCCGCCAGATACATGATATTGATACTGTCGTGTCCGTTAAAGTGTCCTCTATCTGGTGACATCATCGGTATTGTGATACGCGGCCGTATTTTGCCGCAAATCGGCCAGCAATAGATTTTTGAGGGCGCGCGCTCTACTTATTGCTGACTTTACCCCCTCTTTCTTATCCGCCAGGTACATGATATTGATACTATCGTGTCCGTTAAAGTGTCCTTTATCTGGTGATATCATCGGTATTATGATACGCGGCCGTATTTGGCTGCAAATCGGTCATTAATAGATTTTTGAGGGCGCGCGCACTACTTATTGCTGATTTTACCCCCTCTTTCTTATCCGCCAGGTACATGATATTGATACTGTCGTGTCCGTTAAATTGTCCTCTATCTGGTGACATTATCGGTTTCATGTTACGCGGTCGTATTTTGCCGCAAAACGGCCGGCAATAGATTTTTTCGGGCAAGCCCACTACTTATTGCTGACTTTACCCCCTCTTTCTTATCCGCCAGGTACATGATATTGATACTGTCGTGTCCGTTAAAGTGTCCTCTATCTGGTGACATTATCGGTTTCATGTTACGCGGTCGTATTTTGCCGCAAAACGGCCGGCAATAGATTTTTCAGGCAAGCCCACTACTTATTGCTGACTTTACCCCCTCTTTCTTATCCGCCAGGTACATGATATTGATACTGTCGTGTCCGTTAAAGTGTCCTCTATCTGGTGACATCATCGGTATTATGTTACGCGGCCGTATTTTGCCGCAAATCGGCCAGCAATAGATTTTTCGGGCGCGCGCACTACTTATGGCTGGAGTTATTGCCAGGTTCACACAAGTTTCGGGTTAGCAAGGGTTGATCTGAAAAGTTAAGTTAAAATTAAGAGTTAATCGAGTTAAGAGGTAAATTTCGAGTTGTAGAGGTAATGTAGCCTATTTAAAGAATTCGACCTACTTACCTAGAGGTCGTGCGGAACGAGGTGAAGCCTGAGATTTTCGGCGGGAACGGTCTAAAGCGGGGAAATCCATGGTGGGGGTAGGAGACGAGCCGATTGTCGCCTCGCATAGCGACACTTCCCCCGCCACACCACTATTCCCCTCCAAGCTTCACCTCGTTCCGTACGACCTCTACTGAACTTTGAGTTATAGGAGGTAATTTTTCTATCACTTCTAGTTAGCCTATAGCCTAGAGGTAAAATTCGGGTGCAAAATTTATTCGAGATACCGTACGCATGGTTTTTTCTTCGACTAAGGCAGATTTTCTCAAGGGAATGGGAAAAATTCGAGTTATCAAGGAATTCGACTTAGGTATTGAGGTTCGAGTTATCGAGAGTCGACTGTAGTGGCTCTTCAAGCTCGGCCACAACCTTTTTCACCCGTGCTTTAAGGAGGGTATTTTTGAAAGGCTTAATCCCTGTTATATTTACCTGCCCAAGGCCTAGGCCTAAGTTATTTGTAACAGAAAGGAAACATTTTTTTTTAGGCTAGGCCTACTTTGTGATAGCCTATTCAACACAACTTGTCTTGACTTTTTTGTTTTTTTTTTCAAACTTTTTATCAAACGCGAATGCAATAATTTATCAAATCAAACCTATTCAATGAAAACGGTACAACACTTCAACTTTTTACACACAATTTTGTAAAATACATATTAGGTCTATATAACCTCCAAATAACAATTCTAACTGAGACTCAAGTCAAGTCAAAACCAAAACTCAAAACGTGGTCTAAATAAATGGTCAAAACCAAAAATTATTTTCGCTTTTTTTGTTTGTTTTACGTTTATTGTTTAAACTAGGCTCGGTGGGGCACACGGAAGATTTCTCAGGTGCCGTTTGACGTCACTAACTGCTGACGTCACTAACTGCTGCGTCTGAAGAAACAGACAATTTTATAATTTTCTATTATTAAATTAAACTAACATAACCTAACCAAACTAACCAAACGTGCTGATAATGGAAAAATCTAATAAAGGTTTACTAATTTAAAAAATAGTTTTGTTCATAAAATACAATTATAATTGCCTAAAATTTAATTTTTTAATTATAAAATTAAACTGTCATAACCTTACCAAACCAACCAAACTTGCTGATATGAAAAAATTGTTGATAAAAAGTTAGTGCCGCCGGCGGGATTCTAACCCGGAACATTCGGAATATCAGCCCGCAATGCTATCCACTGCACCACCGAGGCCCATGGCTCAATACCGTATCGTTGCGGTATTGGTGTTCCCTCAAAGTGACGTCAGCAATTAGTGACGTCAAACGGCACCTGAGAAATCTTCCGTGTGCCGTTTCGAACTACGCTTACATTTTTTTCTTATGAGAATGTTTTTACTTTATGCCACTGTAGTCTGTTTTAATCTTATACCATGAAGTTTCATAGGTGACTCAATCCATTGAGTATATTTATAAGCCATCGTTTACGTCCACACCATTGGTTATAGTTTCCATAATATTATTCATACTCCTTGGGGGTTTGTAGCTCATATGGAATATGGATCAAATCAGAGGTAAAACCATAGACTAACTAACACAAGGGTCCATGTTAAGTCCCACAAGGATATAGTCATAGTCAAGTCCCTTTCCCCGGCTAATCTGTTGCGCCCTCCGTGGGAGTTTGGAAGGGTGGACGAAGTCGCACCATAGACTAACATGTAATGGAAATGTTTTCGTTTTAATTTTATACATATCAGAACTTATAGGTTTCATAAGATTGATTTTTTTATGTATTGATTTGTATATCCCATCTCTAATAAATACTGAGTTTTGATTTAAAACAGCAAAAATGTTCATATCAGTTACATGCAAGGGAGTATGTTTTATCTATGGTCGCACGTATAAATACTTCTCATCCCATTGTAAATGTTAAAGCTAGTTTTTCGTGTCCGGTGACACTGATCACTAGTGACGACGACGTTTTGTTTATAATATTTTAGGGTCAATTTAACGAAACGGCACACGGAAGATTTCTCAGGTGCCGTTTGACGTCACTAACTGCTGAGTGCTGACATCACTTTGAGGGAACACCAATTACCGCAACGATTCGGTTTTGAGCCATCGGCCTCGGTGGTGCAGTGGATAGGGTTGCGGGCTGATAATCCGAATGTTCCGGGTTCGAATTCCGCTGGCGGCACTAACTTTTTATCAACATTTTTTTCATATCAGCAAGTTTGGTTGGTTTGGTTAGGTTATGACAGTTTAATTTTATAATTAATAAATTATAAATTTGAATTTTAGGCAATTGTAATTTTATTTTATGAATAAAACTATTTTTCAGATTAGTAAACCTTTAATCGATTTTTCCATTATCAGCACGTTTGGTTAGTTTGGTTAGGTTATGACAGTTTAATTTAATAATAGAAAATTATAAAATTGTCTGTTTCTTCAGACGCAGCAGTTAGTGACGTCAAACGGCACCTGAGAAATCTTCCGTATGCCCCACCGTCAATTTAATGATTTGTGTTTTGGTTGTATAACTAGGGAACGAGTTATTGTTTTATTTGACTAAACGAGGAACAAATAACACAACTGAATAACGAACTCTGAAATAACAAGAAACAAATTGTAAACAAAACACGACCTCTTCAGTGCACCGGACGGAGCTATCAATTAAATTTTCTTCAGCTTATCGAACATAAGGATGAGAAATCTACCATAGATAAAACATACTCTCCAAGTATAATATAGTATTCGAATAGTTTTCGAATAAAACAGCTGGTATGCTTGCTTAGGCCTTTATCGAAACTCTTTCTAATGCCGAAATTTCAAAACTTTAACCATTTATTACCTTTGAAACGGTCAGGGTTCATGAAAAAAAACAAAAAACACAAGTGTAAAATCGTCTTAAAATTACATTTTCTACTAGAATACATCATAAAATACAGGGTGTTCCAGAAGAAAAATCAAAGTTGGTGGCCAAATTGGTAAAATGGCGGCTAAAATATTTTTTTCGACTTAACTACAATTTTTAAAATAAAAAATCTACGGCACTTACCGTTTAACTTTTTTGATATCTCTTATAGCTTTCGAATAAAACAGCTGGCACACTTATATCAATCACCCTGTGTAGTGCCTTAGCGGGTGAGGGATGTTGAAATCCAAGCCGTTGGCGTCACTAAGTAGGCCCAACAACTTTGGAGTTTTGGTGGACAGTAAGTTTTATATTCAATTCATTCAATTCAATTCATTTATTTCCACGGTAACACCATTTTTACAAGAGGTACAGTAAGTCGTAGCTATCAAACTAAAATTTAACAACAAATGAAGGCTATTCTGAATAAATTACAATAACAAGAACAAGAAAAACATATCAACAATGAAGATGAAAACCATGATAAATTTTTTAAAACAATAACAAAACAAGACTTAACAAAACAACAAATACACGGTTTGGAATCCTCTAAGCAAGACTTACATGACAAAAACAGATATAAATACTAAAGTGACAAAAATAAATAACTGATCGAAGGTTGAACACAGTGCCGTTAACATGATGTAGGCATTAACTACAAATTATTTACAGAGAAGAGGCGACACAGATTGGAGCGGAAAGCAGCCACGCTGGAACGGTGAAAATCCAACACTGCACATTTTATAGTTGGCAGGACCAGATCTTCCGTACGGAGGACAAGACCGCTGAAGTGGTTTCTTCCCTGGGTCTTTTGGTCGGATATAATGGTCAATATTGGAAGTTCTCAGTCCAGTAATAGAATACTCTTGCTTGATGGGTTGTGGGCAGTCCGTACTACAATAATGCGGAAGTGTGGGCAGATTCGCTCAGCAAGGAGGTATATAAGATGCGACTTGCCCGTGTGCAGCTTTCAGGCAGTACCACAGCCACCTTTAACTACAGGCCACGGCCTGGTAGAATTGGCAACGTCGCAAGTAGGGTTGTTTAGTGTCAGACGTTCCATAAAATAAAATGGCTGACAGGTGACATCAGCTACTAGGATTGCATGAGTTGTGGATATTTATAGGCATGTACTGTGGATGCGATACTCACTGGTGTGGATTAACTTCCTCACGGGTGAGTACTACGTCTATCCGCAGTACTATCCTGATAATTAGACCAAATCGTATATACCAAAGGCAAAATGTGGTTCGGATCCCACTATAAACTGTAGGTCCCTTAGTTGCCTTTAGCTGTATGGCTATTAGGCCTAATTATTTACAACTGTGTCTAAGGAATGTCGGCCTTAGTCACTAACAAGACTACAAGATCGTGTCACTCATCCTACACTCATCTCCATTCATAATTGGCTTAAAATACAGATAAAGTAAGTAAGTAAGTATAAAGTAAGGAAGCAGCTCATTACTTCGCACTTTATTGATTTAAATTTAAACTTATTATTATTAAAATATTGAAAATAAAGCATACAGAATTGAAAATCAAAACAATATCAATTGAAAATCTATATCTGTGCATTTAAAGAGGAGTCAATATTTTTCATAGTCCAGTAACCAAGCTTTCGTAAATACACAAATACAATTAGCTGCTTCCAAACAAAACAGCTGTTACAAGCCTAATTGCAACGTTGTCACTTCGAAGGCCGTGGCCTGGAGTTAAAGGCGGCCGTGGCAGTACTCTGGGTAGCACCATTGACTATGTAGCACCCTCTTACTAAAAACGTCCCGGCCTGCCGTCCTGATGGTCCTTGTAGTATCCATAAAACTTCAGGGAAACAGTAATGGACACACTTTTGGGTTAAGAGCAGAGCAGTTTGCTGCTAAATTCCTTGGAAAACAATTTTTTGGGTGTAAATGTTAATTTATGAAGAGAAAAGAGAAGAGAGGTGCGTTCACATAAACGGCTTTACGTATTAGCGAATTTCCCTATAGGGAAGTAGCTATTACCGTAGGTCTCATGGTAAGACTTAGGCCCGGGACCGATTTACTTTTTCATTTTAATGTCCCCAGAGGCCAAAAACACCATTCGTTCAAATTTTTATATATGTATATATATATAGATATATATATATATATATATATAGATTTATATATATATATATGTGTCCGTGAACACGATAACTTGAGTAATTTTTATCCGATTTTGATGAAATTTGGTTTGAAGGTGTAAGGCGGGATAAACTTAAATGAGTTCGCGATCCAGCATGATCGGACCATGGGAACAGGGTTTTATGGGGGGTTTTATGGGGTAAAAATTGGGGTTTCTCACTTCTTACCCTCAAAACACAAAATTTCCCAATTTTTCTCTAAATCTTCTTAAAGAGCTTAAAAAAACAAACAATTCAGTATATCAAAGTGTTTTTGTACGGTTATTGGTTACGGAGAAAACTAAAAAAATGGTAAATTTAAAATTCCCATGTTATTCTTATGGAGAATATTGTAAAATGTTGTAGTTTGCTTGTTTATGGATATATTTTGATCAAACTTGGCACATTTATTTATTTTATAGTAAGCTATCAATATTTTGCCAAAAACACACTACTTTATTAGTTTCCTTGTAGCAGCAAACCTACGTACTCGTTAAACCTAATGTTATTTAAATAGATCAATTGAAAATCAATTCGGCCAAATGGAAATTCGCTTAGACGGCAGGTTTGCTGCGGCGGGGGTATTACGTATTAGGATAATTACATTTTTTGTTAATACTCAGCCAACAACATGCGTAAACTCTTTCATTGTTATTTATTTACCTCTATAGCTGTTTTAGTATGTAATAGAATACAATTTGTGTGTTCAGGTTCCGGGCGTC